AAAGGAAGGCTAGCGGCCGACGGTGCTGGAGGTGAACGACGAATCCGATGCTCTAAAGATCAACACACCATAGGAACCTGGAATGTAAGATCTTTGAGCCAGGGCAAACTGGATGTTGTTATTGGTGAGATGTCAAGACTGAAGATAGACATTATGGGAGTCAGCGAACTGATATGGACTGGAATGGGCCACTTCACATCAGATGACCACCAGATCTGCTACTGCGGACAAGAGGAACACCGAAGAAATGGAGTAGCCTTCATAATTAATAAGAAAGTTGCTAAAACAGTGCTTGGATACAACCCAAAAAATGACAGAGTGATCTCAATTCGAGTGGAAGGAAAGCCTTTCAACATTACAGTGATCCAAATATACGCCCCAACCACATCTGCTAAAGAAGCAGAAGTAGATCAGTTCTATGAGGATCTGCAGCGCCTACTAGATAATACACCAAAAAGAGACATTATTTTCATTACAGGAGACTGGAATGCCAAGGTGGGAAGTCAAATGACAACAGGGATCACAGGCAAGCATGGTCTGGGAGAACAAAATGAAGCGGGATGCAGGCTGATAGAATTTTGCCAGGAAAACTCGCTGTGTATAACAAACACTCTCTTCCAACAACCTAAAAGACGGCTTTATACATGGACCTCACCAGATGGGCAACACCGAAATCAGATTGACTACATCCTTTGCAGCCAAAGGTGGCGGACATCCATCCAGTTGGTGAAAACAAGACCTGGGGCTGACTGTAGCTCAGATCACAAACTTCTTATTGCTCAATTTAGAATAAAACTAAAGAGATCGCGGGGGGGGGGGGGGAGAGACCAGTTAGATATGATTTCACTAACATTCCTAGCGAATATGCAGTGGAAATGAAGAACAGATTCGAAGGACTAGATTTAGTAGAGTCCCAGAAGAACTATGGACAGAAGTCCACGACATTGTTCAGGAGGCTGCAACAAAGTATGTCCCAAAGAAAACCAAGAAAGCAAAATGGTTGTCTGCTGAGACAATGGAAGTAGCCCAAGAAAGGAGGAAAGCAAAAGAAAACAGAGATAAGGAGGGATATGCCCAGTTAAATGCACAATTCCAGAGGTTAGCCAGAAGAGATAAAGAACTATTTTTAAACAAGCAATGCATGGAAGTGGAGGAAGACAACAGAATAGGAAGGACAAGAGACCTCTTCCAGAAAATTAGAAACATTGGAGGTAAATTTCAGGCAAAAATTGGCATGATAAGAAACAAAGATGGCAGGGACCTAACAGAAGCTGAAGAGATCAAGAGAAGGTGGCAAGACTATAGAGAAGATCTTTATAGTAAGGATAATAATATCAAGGGTAGTTTTGACGGTGTGGTGAGTGAATTAGAACCAGACATCCTGAGGAGTGAGGTTGAAGAGGCCTTAAGAAGCATTGCTAACACCAAGGCAGCAGGAGACGACGGGATCCCAGCTGAACTGTTTAAAATCTTGAAAGATGATGCTGTCAAGGTGATGCATGCCATATGCCAGCAAATATGGAAAACACAAGAATGGCCATCAGACTGGAAAAAATCAACTTATATCCCCATACCAAAAAAGGGAAATGCTAAAGACTGCTCAAACTTTCATACAGTGGCCCTTATTTCTCATGCCAGTAAGGTAATGCAAGGAAGACTCCAGCAAGACATGGAGAGAGAGTTGCCAGAAGTACAAGCAGGGTTCAGAAAAGGCAGAGGAACAGGAGACCAAATTGCCAATATCCGGATGCTGGAGAAAGGCAGGAAGTTTCAGAAAAACGTCTATTTCTGTTTTATTGACTATTGTAAAGCCTTTGACTGTGTGGATCATAATAAATTGTGGCAAGTTCTTGGTGGTATGGGCATACCAAATCACCTTATCTCTCCTGAGGAATCTGTATAAGGACCAAGAAGCAATAGTAAGAACTGACCATGGAACAACAGACTGGTTCAAGATTGGGAAAGGCATATGGCAGGATTGTATCCTCTCACCCAACCTATTCAACTTGTATGCAGAACATATCATGCGATGTGCGGAGCTTGATGAATGCAAGGCTGGGGTGAAAATGGCTGGAAGAAACATTCACAACATTAGATATGCAGATGACGCCACTTTGATGGCCGAAAGCGAGGAGGAGCTGAGGAGCCTTCTAATCAAGGTGAAAGATGAAAGAGCAAAAGCTGGGTTGTAGCTAAACATGAAAAAAAAAACAAGATTATGGCAACAAGAATGATAGAGGGAGAAAACGTGGAGGCAGCGACAGGGTTTGTTTTTCTAGGTGCAAAGATGACTGCAGACGCAGACTGCAGCCAGGAAATTAGGAGACACTTACATCTTGGGAGGAGAGCAATGACAAATCTTGATAAAATAATGAAGAGTAGAGACATCATACTGGCAACAAAGATCCGCATAGCCAAAGCATCTACGGATGTGAGAGCTGGACCATAGGGAAGGCTGAGTGAAGGAAGATAGATGCTTTTGAACTGTGGTGCTGGAGGAAAGTTCTGAGAGTGCCTTGGACAGCGAGAAGATCCAACCAGTCCATACTTCAAGAAATAAAGCCTGACTGCTCATTGGAGGGAAGAATAGTAGAGGCCAAGATGAAGTACTTTGGTCACATCATGAGAAGAAAGGAAAGCTTAGAGAAGACAATGATGCTGGGGAAAATGGAAGGAAAAAGGAAGAGGGCCGACCAAGGGCAAGATGGATGGATGGTATCCTTGAAGTGACTGGATTGGCCTTGAAGGAGCTGGGGTGGTGACAACCGACAGGGAGCTCTGGTGTGGACTGGTCCATGAGGTCACGAAGAGTCGGAAATGACTGAATGAATGAACAGAACAGAAAGCTTAATACCTAATTTGTTCAAGTTCTCTCAGTTAAACCTCATTGTTTTGTTGTTCACAACAACTGCCTCACGTGTGCCTCTGTGGGTGAAGTTTTAAGAGCAGTTTCCTGCAGCAAACAGGAGACTAATGGCAGCAGCGTAGATTTTAAAGAACAATCTTTAGTGTTACCTCAGAAACACAAGCCTGAGGGCTAAATCCAACACACTCTTGCCTAAGAATACGTCCAGTAAGCCAAGGGCTTATCAGCGCTTCTAAGTTGGTGGGTGTCAGAGGGCTTTCAAAAAGGGGTTTTCGGCTAGAAGAAAGTTCCAGCTTTCCTTACAGCTTTTGATTTGGGGCTTTTAATCACAGAAGCCTCATTCCAATTTTAGTGGTGTTTGCTTTTGGGATTATTTTTAGTCCCAAATAAAGCCTCTTCTCGAATCCTATTGGTACCTATTAATCTACCGTTGTTCATGTGGGTTCTGTGTGGGAAGTTTGGCCCAATTCTATCCTTGGTGGGGTTGAGAATGCTGTTTGATTGTGGGTGAACTATAAATCCCAGCACCTACAACTCCGAAATGTCAAGGTCTATTTTCCCCGATTTCCACCAGTGTTCACATTTGGGCATATTGAGTATTTGCACCAAGTTTGGTCCAGATCCACCATTGTTTGCATCCACAAACAGTGCTCTCTGGATGTAGGTGAACTACAACTCCAAAATGCAAGATCAATGCCCACCAAACCCTCCCAGTATTTTCTGTTAGTCATGGGAGTTCTGTATGCCAAGATTGGTTCAATTCCATCGTTGGTGGAGGGCAGAATGCTCTTTGATGGTGGGCTAACTATAAATCCCAACAACTACAACTCCCAAATGACTAAATCAACCCCACTAATATTCACATTTGGGCGTTTTGGATATTTGTGCCAACTTTGGTCCAGTGAATGGAAATACATCCTGCATGTCAGGTATTTACATGACGATTCATAACAATAGCAAAATTACAGTTATGAAGTAGCAACGAAAGTAATGTTAAGGTTGGGGGTCATCACAAAAATGAGGAACTTGGTTAATAACGGGTCGCGGCAGTAGGAAGGTAGAGAAACACTGGTGTACATGGTGGCAGCACAGAGGCGCCTCTATGGCTCAAGGGCACGCTTCCCGGTTTTGGCCACTGGATGGCAGCAAAGGGCTGCAGATCAGAATCTCAAGGCAAGTGCAATATTCCCATGTCCACCAGAGGGCAGCAAAGAGAAAGGCCATGGGGGCTGAACCTGTAATGTCATTGATCTATTATTTAGCCACGGCTAATAATAATAATAATAAATAATAATAATAATAATAATAATAATAATAATAATATTCTCATCCTGGGCATTATACTTTTGCAAAGCCTTTTGCCTCCTATGCCCAACAGTGTGGGTACCTCTCCAAACTACAACTCCCAGCCTCCCATGCAAGTCTATAACTAAACTGCACCTCTTCCGCAGCTTAGTGCTATGGCAGCCTGGGAGGTGTAGTTTTCCAAAGTTTTTCGCCTCCTCTACCAAACTACAGCTTCCAGGATTCCATAGCAATGAGCCCCAAAAGTTTGAGTGGGGCTCACCCAGCATTGCCGCCTATCAGAGAGCGATGGGACCACGGCAAACTACAGATCCCAGTGGCCCACAGCACTGAACCACGACAATCATTGCACTGTTGTAGTGGTGTGAGTCCCTGGCGTGATTTAGCAAAGAAGGCATTGCAAAAGTACAGCCTTTTGCTATAGAACCCTTGAGAGGTCTAGTTCAACAAGGGTCTAAACCAGACAGTGCCAGGTCCATGCTAAACTACACCTCCCAGGATCCCAGACAACATTACGATTATTATTATCATTATCATCATCATAATTCCTAAAGAATCCTATTTATGGTTATGCATTATTATTATTTACATCTAATGATGAGAAACACTAATAATCCTGGCTGTGGCTGAATGAGTGATCCATGATCTGGCAGGTGAAGCCCTCCTGGCCCTCCCTTTGGCGCCCTCTTGTGGACAAGGGAAGACCCTGATGTTTGCGTTTCTGGGTATTTCCATTTTCAACATGACCCATGAAGGGAAAGGGGGAAATGGTGGAGGTAAAGAAAGTTTTTCACCTTCATCCTTGATCTTTTGTTTCTTTCTTAACCAGGGAAACGAGGATTCTATGGAGCCACCTCTTGGATGCAGCAATGAAATCAATCATATAGGAAGAAGAACTTCTCTCTAGGTGAGGGTCTTGCTGAAATCTTGACCTCACATACAGATAAGGAAGGAAAAAAGATGACTGAAGCTTCTGTATTGCAATCAAACACCCATATCATGGCTGACATGAAGGAGAAAGCATTTATATGCCTGGAATGTGGGAAAAGTTTCACTTGGAGTGGTGATCTGAAGCGACATCAAAGGACTCACACGGGGGAGAAACCCTATACATGCTTGGAGTGTGGAAAGAGCTTCACTCACAGTGGTAGTCTACGTTTACACGAAAGGACTCACACTGGGGAGAAACCCTATACATGCCCGGAGTGTGGAAAGAGCTTCACTCATAGTTCAGCTCTATGTTCACATCAAAGGACTCACACTGGGGAGAAACCGTATACATGCCCGGAGTGTGGAAAGAGCTTTACTCATACTACAGGTCTACGTTTACATCTAAGGATTCACACTGGGGAGAAACCGTATACATGTCCAGAGTGTGGCAAGAGCTTCGCTCATAGTTCACATCTATATAAACATCAAAGGACTCACACAGGGGAGAAACCCTATAACTGCCTGGAGTGTGGAAAGAGTTTCAATGAGAGTGGAAGTCTACGTACACATCAAAGGATTCACACTGGGGAGAAACCCTTTACATGCCTGGAGTGTGGGCAGAGCTTCACTGATAGTTCAGGTCTACGTTCACACCAAAGCACTCACAGTGGGAACAAACCCTATACATGCCTGGAGTGTGGGCAGAGCTTCACTACAAATGGAAATCTACATTCACATCAAAGGATTCACACTGGGGAGAAGCCCTATACATGCCTGGAGTGTGGGCAGAGCTTCACTATGAGTGGAAGTCTACGTTCACATCAATGGATTCACACTGGGGAGAAACCCTATACATGCCTGGAGTGTGGGCAGGGTTTCACTAGGAGTGGAAGTCTATATTCACATCAAAGGATTCACACTGAGGAGAAACCCTATACATGCCTAGATTGCGGGCAGAGCTTCACAACGAGTGGCAGTCTACGTTCACATCAAAGGATTCACACTGGGGAGAAACCCTATACATGCCTGGAGTGTGGCCAGAGCTTCACTACGAGTGGAAGTCTATGTTCACATCAAAGGATTCACACTGGGGAAAAACCCTATACATGCTTGGACTGTGGGCAGAGCTTCACTACGAGTGGAAGTCTACGTTCACATCAAAGGATTCACACTGGGGAAAAACCCTATACATGCCTGGAGTGTGGAAAGAGCTTCTCTGAGATTACGGGTCTACGTTCACATCAAAGGACTCACACTGGGGAGAAGCCCTATAAATGCTTGGAGTGTGGAAAGAGTTTCTCGGAGAGTACAGGTCTACGTTCACACCAAAGGACTCACACTAAAGAGAAACCATATACATGCCTGGAGTGTAGAAAGAGCTTCACTCAGATTGGAAGTCTACGTTCACATCAAAGGATTCACACTGGGGAGAAACCCTATAAATGCCTGGAGTGTGGAAAGAGCTTCACTCAGAGTGGAAATCTACGTTCACACCAAAGGACTCACACTGAAGAGAAACCATATACATGCCTGGAGTGTTGAAAGAGCTTCACTCAGAGTGGAAATCTCCATAGACATCAAAGGATTCACACTGGGGAGAAACCTTATACATGCTGTATAAACCAATTTTTACTTTACTGTATAAACCAATTATTCGGTATTGTAGAAGGCTTTTGTGGTGAATCTTACCTGGTAGGCCAGAAAGGGAGCCTGGATAACAGTAGGGCAGGCCTCTATTTTAGGAGGGAATGTCAGGGAGGCAGCCATCTTGAGTGAGGATGGTTGGAAGAGGGGAGGAGTTTAGAGACTCCTAGGATAGGCCAGAGCAATTGGGAGGAGCCAAATCTGAGGAGGGAAAGAAGGTAGCTTCAGTGAGAGTTGAGAGCTGGGAGCTGGTTTGTGAAGGTGTAGGTTTTGAAACTGGGTTTTTTTTCAGAGAGAGAGCTAGGCGAGAGAGTGTCTGTGTTAGACAGTGCTGTGAGCTGACAGGAAAAAGGTCAGACAGCAGTCTGATCTCTTGTGAGAGTTAGCCCAAGAGAATGGCTCTCCAGGCTGGGTTGGTTAATAGGAATAACTCTAGGGTAGAATTAGTTAATAACCCAGGGGCTACCTAGGTAGGCTAGTCAGACTCATCACTATTCTCTGAAATAGAGCGAGGGTTTTGTTACCAACAGTTAGTTCTGTTTGGTTAGCTCTGTCTAGAACAAAGTGAAGAGAACTATTCAAGCAACCAATCAAGCTGAAGTACTTTTGTAACAAGTCACGCTTTTTGTACCTCTCAGGAGTGGTTAGTTGTCTGTTTTAAAAATAAATCCTATTCTATTTAACTTTCAACAGAGTCTCTACTGTACATCATTCCATCATCAAGGTTTTGTGATCGTTCCAGCAATTTTAACATCCTGTTGCTACAGAAAAGCCTCTCAAGAAACAGTTGTTTCGGAGCCAGGGATAAGAGCAGTGGGAAAAGTAAGACGTAATGCTATGCAAGAGTTAAAGGCATAGAGTGATTTGCTGCCTAGAGAGTGAACTGTGAGCTTTTCCTGTTTACGTCACACATTCCAATGTCATGGATATGAGATAACAGAGTGCAAGGTGTTCTCTTCCAGCCATGCCGGGGAAGGAGCAAGATGCCTGTGTGATTTCTCCTGTACAATGTTATATTTATTATTTTTCTTCTAGCTTTTAGAATGTAACTAAATAAAAGTACCACTTCAAGGATTTGAAGTTGACAAAGGACTGTGAACTTTGTTTTCATTGTGTGCCTCATTGCAGTTTCACTGAGGCCGAATTTTATTGACAAGGATTATGGGCACATAGCATTACGGAAATTCAAAGCATACAATGCAATTAAATAAATATAATACAGAGTACAATATGCACATGCACAAATTCCAAAGGGCCTTCTTCATAACTGGTCAGTTATTAAAAGTTGAAGTTCAACAAAGGACTGCACACTTTGTTTTCATTGCGTGCCTCATTGCAGTTGCACTGAGGCCGAAATTTATTGACAATATATACAATCTTGAGAACAGTTGCATTGACTCACACAATATATTTTGAGAGAGATTCAAATGGTATTTAGGTGTCCATGTGGAGGATCATCTTCCTGCAGCTCATGAAGTGAGAAATATCTCCTACACAGATAAAGCCCAAGTATGTAACTGTTGCCAAAACTCCCAGGCTCAGCTAGCTCCTTGGGTGTTGCCCAACCAATCAGATCCGTGCTTTGCATTTCCAGTTAACACAGTCACCAATTGATTTTTTCCATGTCCTAATATGTTATAGACGGATCACTCTGACCTGTAGAACCAGGGGGGAGATTACCTCTTCCATACCTTTTTGCAGCATCACCTCCCTGCTAATTATGATCCTATATTACCCACCCCCAAACTGCCAGGCATTCTATAGACTGACCACCACCAACTGCTAGGCGTGCCACTCTACCAACCACCGTCAACGGCGGGACATGACACCTGGCTTTAGTCCCAATGTGAAGAAAAACCTGGGCTGGACCCATAACCTATTACACAGCATGTGTTTTAATCCAACGTCCCAACACCCAAAAAACCAAGATGCAAAATAGTCTCAGACCAATAGTCAAGGTAAACAGAAAATCTTTCCTCTCTTAACTTTGCAGAGATGAAACAGAACTGGCAATGCCGCACACAAAAATCAGCAGTGCAACATGTTTACACAGACTTTGTAATAAACATAAAATAAAACATCTTCTAAGCAGCAAATGGGAAATCATAACAACCTGAAGTAAACAGCCATTTCACCCACAGCATCTCCTGCTGGTACTCCACACTGGTGAAACAGAATTCCAGCAGCAACCTGCCAGAAATCCAGCACCCACCCAGAGGCGGCCCTAGGTAATTTTCAATGGTAAGCAAGCAGTATTTTGCCCCCTCCCCCATCACTGATTTACATTACATTACATTTACATTTACATTACATTACATTACAGATTCACCAGTTGAAGGAAATGTGCTCACCAAGGTGGAGAGAAGTCATCGAAGATTTATTGATTTCAGCGGAAGTGATGCCAGCTGGCGATATCTCGATCAAAGTAGCTGAGATGTCATACGGCACAAAACATGCATCTTTTATACAGTAAAGGTTCAGATTTCCCGCTGCCCCCAGCTGGATTCGGCCCCGCCATGATTGGTTGGGCGAGGTTGAACGTCAGCAGGACTCCGGACAGAGGAGGAGTAAGGCGTGCCTCAACCCATCAGAGGCCTTCGATGGAGATGTGCCCATTGTCCAATGGTGGGAGAGGGGTTGGCTGGTCGTCTGAACAAAGGTGTATCGGTGGATGATGATGGGATTAAGTGTTCCCAAGAGCCCAGTACAACAGCCCTGATGGGCGTTACCAATACTATTATTGTCTCTATGGAAACAGTCTCGGACGGAGGCCACTGCCCACTGCCCATGGCAGGAAGCTCCCATATATGGTCCATCTGGTAGGTATTGTCTTTGGTAAGTTTGATGGGGATTACTAAAGGTAAATGGATCCGAGGACAATGGTGACAGGGTACTCCCAGGTAGGAACACCCCCTGCCGAGAGGAGAGTGTCTTCTATTGTCCAGGCTTTGGCAAGAGGAAGGATTCCCGAAACCACCTGAAGGGATTATGGGTTCTGTTGTGATACCTGGTATATTCAATCAAAATGTAAATGGAGCCTGGTAGGGTGTGGAGAGATTCCTTCCCAGGACATGAGGTGCTGGCAGAAGGTTCTCGCTGGTCAGTAACTTCCCAAAATTTTATAAAGTGTACAGAAAGCAAACAATTAGACATATGCACACAATAAGGGGCTCCCGATGGCGGGAGGAATCCCAGGTACTTCATTCGTGGGGTCCTGACCATTGTTGGGTTGGGGAGTAATTCACAATATCCCATAAGAATACAAGGGGCTCCTCCCCCCTAGTGTGACTTATGGGCGGGAGAAACATAGACCATAAGGCAGTGTTTCACAACCTGGGGGTCGGGACCCCTGGGGGGGTTGCAAGGGGGTGTCAGAGGGGTCACCAAAGACCATCAGAAAATAATATTTTCTGTTAGTCATGGGGGTTCTGTGTGGGAAATTTGGCCCAATTCTATCGGTGCGGTTGAGAATGCTCTTTGATTGTAGGTGAACTATAAATCCCAGCAACTACAACTCCCAAATGTCAAGTCTATGTTCCCCAAACTTCACCAGTGTTCACATTTGGGCATATTGAGGATTCGTGCCAAGTTTGGTCCAGATCCATCATTGTTTGACTTCCCACTGCTTTCTGGATGTAGGTGAATTACAACTCCAAAACCCAAGGTCAATGCCCATCAAATCCTTCCAGTATTTTCTGTAGGTCATGGGAGTTTTGTGTGCCAATTTTGGTTCAATTCCATCATGGGTGGAATTCACAATGCTCTTTGATTGTAGGTTAACTGTAAATGAAAGCAACTACAACTCCCAAATGACAAAATCAATCAATCCCCCAAACCCACCAGTATTCAAATTTGGGCATATTGAGTATTTGAGCCAGATTTGGTCCAGTAAATTAGAATACATCCTGCTGCATATCAGATATTTACATTACTATTCATAACAGAAGCAAAATTACAGTTGTGACGTAGCAATGAAAATAATTATATGGTTGGGGGTCAACACAACATGAGGAACTATAGGAAGGTTGAGAAACACTGCCATAAGGGGAGGGAAAGTGGGGGGGGGACATAACATGGGGTTCAGATACTAACAGTTAGGAGCTTTGTCTCGTTGGAAAGTTCTGGGATAGGTAATATATAGAGAGAAGGATAGATCTGTCGCTGCAGTAATAAAAGTTGGATTGGTTGCAGCCATAAAGTAATTAGTTTATTTACATTCTATATACAAAGACCAACACAGCACAAAGCAAGCACGTCTGCACTCCGGCAAAGACATCTCCGAAAGATGGCGGTGGTAGTCTCCCCTTATCAGTAAAAAGATATCAGGCCTATCCAATTCCATTCTGATGACAAAAGTCCGGTCTCATCAGAGGAAGCAGGAAAACATTTCTACTGTCATTTCTAGGATAATTTAAACCTCTGTGGTCTGTTAACGCTACACACGCTAGGCAGCTTTACAAACACACGATCACAGCTTTTAAAACACACACTTTGAAATCTCCCAATTGATCAAATATAGTTCAACAAGATGTTGGGGCTACTCTAGAGGTTTGTTGGGAGGGCAGAGGTCTGAGGAGGATCCAGAAGTGCTTCGCCTTTGGTGGCGGGAAAAATAGAACACGGACGGCGAAAGGCAAAGGAGGCATGCAAAATTAAGGTCTTTTGCCCTGCTTAGGGTGGGTGAAAGGATGACGAAGATCGATAGGTTTTCCCATTAATTCACTGGCAGTCGGTGGGCCCCTCCAGCAGTAGGAACTCCCTGCCGCAGGTGTCAGAACCCAGAAGCCTTAAAGAGCCAGACTCAGGAGTGTGTCCAAAATAAACAGTTTATTAAATCTAACAAAAGGACTCAGAGACACTTACTTCAGTGCCTCTGGTCAAAACTCAAAGGTAGTAGCAGTTATTAGCTCAAAAAACCAATTTAGAGGATAATCCGGATTATACAGAGATAAAATCCGGATTATAGTGTTCAAAGACACCCC